TAGAAAAGTAAGAAGCAGCACCTGCTTTGAAGGAAGTTAAAAGTTTAGTTAAGACTCAAGAGCTCACACCACAGTCACACCAAGGTCCACGTGATGTAAGACTGAAATTTCAGAGAAAGGACAGTGAAGGGAATCAAGGCGAGTCTGATGGGGGAAGGTGGTGTTTGAGCTGCATCCTGACAGGTTTCCAGCTCTCGAACTGTGCAAAGGGGAGCAGGAAGGGCATTTCTGAAGGAGGGAACCGGAAGGTGCAAGAATGAGAAATCGTCTCCCTTGGTCCCTGTTTCCTTATCTAGAAAAGTATGAAAAGCGTGCTATAAGTTTTATGTTTTTCTGAAAGAGTATCACAGGCCCAAAAGACAAAAAACATAATCCATATTCTATAGAATTGAAATTTTGCCCTCTTTGAAAGAAAAGAAACAGAAGCATCTTTTTTTGGTTTATTCATAGATACTTCCTACCCTTCCTATCTTCTACAGCAATATTCTACTGGGTCAGTATTATCTGTAGGACTCCAGCTCTTTGGATAACAGGGGTTTTGGTGAAATAAACATTATATGGTCAAATAAGTGTGATGAAGACTGTGCTGATCAAAGTGAAATTACTATTTTACCGTCGCTTTACTCAGAGCCTGTAAGATGCAAATGTGCAGTCATGATTCCTTAAGCTGAGGGATGTATTTTGCCATGTTTTCCAAACTCTTTTTTTCTTTGGAGGACGTCTTGAAATGGGTTGTTTTGTTGAACTTAACGTCGGAAAATGCTGCATTAGCTGATGCTAATTTTGAATACCATGATTATTATTTTACCTGTGAATGAAATATTCCAGGCATTTCTCAGTTCCCCATGCTGTTTGAGAAAGCAGTGCAGTTATAATGGGTTAGCAGATTTTTTTTTCAAGTGATTGAATTAGGGAATTAACAATTCTCACATACATTAACTCACTTATCTTCACAACAATCCATGAGATGGGTACTATTATTATTATTATTAATTATTTATTTTTTTTAGAGTCTCTCTGTTGTCCAGGCTATAGTGCAGTGGTGCAATCTAGGCTCACTGCAACCTCCTCCTCCCAGGTTCAAGTGATTCTCCTGCCTCAGCTGCCCAAGTAGCTGGGATTATAGGCGTGTGCCAACACGTCTGGCTAATTTTTGTATTTTTAGTAGAGATAGGGTTTCCCCATGTTGACCAGGCTGGTCTTGAACTCCTGGCCTCAAGTGATCCACTTGCCTTGGCCTCCCAAAGTGCTGGGATTCCAGGTGTGAGCCATCATGTCTAGCTGAGATGGGTATTATTATTATCTTTGCTTATGGATAAGGACCTTGAGGCACAGGGGCATTAAATCAATTGCCCAAGGTCACACAATCATTAGTGGTAGAACTGAGATTTGACCTGAGTAGTTTGACTCCACAGCCTGGTCAGGCAACCACTGTCTTGTGTGAGCTTGGGAAAATCATCTTATTTATCTGTTCTTAATTTAATTCATAATAAAGTGGGGGATAATAATATCTACCCTAACTCCCTCCCTGAGTTATTGTGAGATATCAGGAAAAAACAAAGTTAAAAAAGTACAGTAAAATTCAGTATGGCTATTAAAACATTCAAATGAAGAAATACACTAGATGGCTTATTTCTTTAATTGCAAGGAGTTAAAAGCCACAATTATCCAATTGTCCTTTACCTGTGCTTCATTATGAATATCCTCTTACTCTTTTAAGGAATATATATATTTTAAATTTTTATTTATTTATTTATTTTGAAACAGGTCCCTCTCTGTCATCCAGGCTGCAGTGCAGTGGCATGATCATAGCTCACTACAGCCTCGAAATTCTGGGTTCAAGCAATCCTGCACTTCAGCCTACTGAGTAGCTGGGGACTACATGTGCCCAGCACTATAGCTGGTTAATTTTTAAAATTTTTCTTTTGTAGAGATAGAGGTCTCACTATGTTGACCAGGCTGGTCTTGACCCCTGGGCTCAAGTGATCCACACTTCTTGGCCTCCCAAAAGACTGGGATTACATGTATGGGTCGCTGCATCCAGCTAGTTTTTTTTTTTTTTTTTTTTTTTTTTAGATGGAGTCTTTCCCTTTCATCAGGCTGGAGTGAAGTGACACAATCTCGGCTCACTGCACTCTTTGCTCCCCCACCCCCCAGGTTCAAGTGATTCTCCTGCCTCAGCCCCCCGAGTAGTTGGGATTACAGGCACCCGCCACCACGCCCAGCAAATTTTTGTATTTTTAGTAGAAATGGGGTTTGCCATGTTGGCCAGGCTGGTCTTGACTCCTGACCTCAGGTGATCCACCCGCCTCAGCCTTCCAAAGTGCTAGGATTAGAGGCGTGAACCACAGAACCCAGCTTAATTTTTGTATTTTTTTTGTGGAAACGGAGTCTCACTATGTTGCCCAAGCTGACAAAGAACTTTTAAACACAGTTGAAACTGTACAACTATAGAAGGTGCCACCTTGTGAATGTCTGGAAAAACTAAAAAAGTTAAAATGGCAAAAGCTGAAAAGATTATCGGGTGTCCTACGGCATGCTAGTCTTATCTAAAGCACCTTTCTGGATTATCTGATTTTTTAACGATTTGTGCCTTATAAAATCTTGCAGCTATTTTCCAACTTGGTAAGCTGTAGAAAATTCATAGGAATGCCAATAATTCTTGTCCATAGAGATATAAATGAATTTTGCCTGGTAGAAGTGCAATTGCTCTTCCACCACCCTGAGGCCAGTTCTGCATTTATTATTTATAAATTTTTATTTTTATTAAAACAAAAGTTTTTTTTTTCATTTTTAAAATTTTAAGTTCTGGGGTACATGTGCAGATCTTGCAGGATTGTTACATAGGTATACACATGCCACGGTGGCTTGCTGCCTCCATTCCCCCGTCACCCTTCTCCTAATATTATCCTTCCCCAATCTCCCTACCCCCAGCTATCCCTCCCCTAGCACCCCACCCACAACAGACCCCAGTGTGTGATGTTCCCCTCCCTGTGTCCATGTGCTCTCATTGTTCAACACCCACTTATGAACGAGAACATGTGGAAAACAAAATTTTTGAGACAGAGTCTTGCTCTGTTGCCCAGGCTGGAGCCCAGTGGTGCGATCTCAGTTCACTGCAATTTTCACCTCCCAGGTTCCAGAGATTCTTCTGCCTCAGCCTCAGCTGGGATTTATAGGGGTACGCTACCACACCCGGCTAATTTTTTGTATTTTTAGTAGAGATGAGGTTTCAGGATGTTGGCCAGGCTGGTCTTGAAGTACTGACGTCAAGTGATCTGCCCGCCTCAGCCTCCCAAAGTGCTGAGACTACAGGCGTGAGCCATCAAATCAGGCCAATTGTGCGTTTATTAATGCATTCATTTCAGCATTCCTGATTGCCTATGTATGAGTGTGCTCTTTGTGTTTTCCTCTGAACAGGGTTAGCCTCTTACTGGTTTCCTCATTCATTAATGAATAAAACAAAGTCTTTGATGTGTGTGCATTTTATATTTGTAGGGAAGTCATGATTTTACTCTTTTAAAAACAATTATCCTGTAACAGGAACCCTTTGAACAGAGGCTAACAGGCCACCCTTGATTCCTGCTGTAGAAAGAATTTCTTACTCCAGGCCCCAATGGTCCTTTTCAGATTTCTAACGTGAAGGGTTGTTCATAGCTCTGCCACTCTCAAAAGACTCTATTTTCCTAAAGCGCAGGGACCTAACTGTCGCCATCAACAAAAATGTTTTAAAGGCAGGGTGTGGTGGTGCACGCCTGTAATCCCAGCACTTTGAGAGGCCGAGGAGGGCGGATCGCTTGAGTTCGGAAGTTCCAGACCAGCCTGGGCAACATGGAGAAACCCCATCTCTACAAAAAATGCAAGAATTAGCTGGGTGTAGTGGCAGACGACTGGAATCCCAGCTACTTGGGGGGCTGGGAAGGGAGGATGGCGTGGGCCAGGGGGTCGAGACTGCCGAGAGCCATGATCACACCACTGCACTCAGTTTGGGCAACAAAACGAAACTCTGTCTAAAAAACAGACAGACAGCAAGCAAGCAAGCAAGCAAACAAACTAACCAACCCACCCCCAAACTCCCCCAAAATATCTTAAGGTAAGGAGGTGTTAGTATTTCTGATCGACTCGTCTTTCCTAGTATGACCACCAGGGAGCGCAAAAGCCCTCCCGGTACTAAGTGGGGGCCACCCCGCCCGCGAGCGCGGCGGGCAGAAGGCAGTGCGCGGGACGCGAGAGAGGACTAGGGCTGGGACTCGCGGGGCCGGCTCAAACAGCCCGACCGCATCTTTATGGGAGCCGATGAGGTCAGCAGGGAGCACGCACCCAGATAGCAGAAGAGGGCAAGATACTGCTAGAATGACAAAGACATTTACGGCCTTTTCACCTGAAAACCCAGAGCAGATCCTATTCTTGAGAATTAAATCTTCGGCTCGCCAGCCCCGTTTGTTGAGCTCCACTCTGATGAATGTGTCATTTGTTCCCAAGAAGACAAATTGGGTAGGGAAAAGAGGGGGAGGCGGGGAGAAGACGGGATAAAGGGACGATCTGCTTTTCGGAAGCGGAAGCCGCCTGGGAACCACCTGCGCACCAAGCGGGCTGCGAGGAGGGCGAGCGCTCCAGGGCAGAGCCCTGTATTTTACAGCCCCTCCTCGCTCACAGGCTTCACAGCAAACTACGAAGTGGGCATCATCTCCAATTTACAGACGCGGGAACGGGGTCCTCTTGAGAAACGGTACTTTCCCAAACGTATGCAAATTGTGAGTGCCCAGTGTCTCCACTGGCACCAACAACATGAGCTGCTTACGTTTCTCGGAGCGGTCCCCACTTCCAACAAGCAAAAGATCCACATTCTTTGACCGCCCCGAGCCGTCCTGCATCTCCAGATCTCCAGGTCTTTCCTCGGGACACCTCCTCCATCCCCCCACTTTCACTGCGAGCACTCCCGAGGCTGCTTCCGCTCCTCAGAATGCCTTCCCCCCGGCGGGTTATTTTTAGAATACTCGACTCACACCCAACCACATCACATTGTCTTGAGTTATTTGTTTTCGGGAGCTTGTCCCCGCCTAGCAACCGGTCTGCTAAGAACTGGATCGTAGCGCGGAGCCGGGCCAGACAGGCGCTCTTGCTCTTCCTCGGCCTGCGGCGGGATCCGCCGGCCCAGGGGCCTCTCCCCGGACTCCACGCGTGTCAGGAGGGCTCTCGGGTTAGGGAAGTGGTGGCTGGAGACGCCCCGGGCGGCCGGGCGGTGGCGGGGCGCGGGTCCTTTAAGAAGGAACGCGGGGCGCGGCCAGGTAGGGGCGGGTCCCGGGCGGATCAGCGCTGCGCCGGCGCCGGCCCGGGAGCCGGATTTGGAGCGCGCGGCGCTGGTGGGGGCGGAGGGGCGGTGCGGTGGGGCTTCCCGTGGCCTCGGACGCTCCTCCTGGCTCGCGGCCGCCGCCCGCCGCCACCTGCGCCTCCAGCTCCTTCGCCCCGGCGGGCCTGGCCGCCGCTTCCGGCAGCTTACCTGGGCCGCGCTCACCTGGGCCGCGCTACCTGCCTGCGGGCGCCTGGGCTCCAGGATGAAGGACCGGCTGGAGCAGCTGAAGGCCGTGAGTGTCGCCGCGGGCGGGGGGCTGCGTGGGAGAGGGGCTTCCTTTTGCTCCCCAGGTCGAGGCTGGAGGGGGCCCGAGTCCGAGGCCTGCCCTCCCCAAATCCCCACCGCTTCCCGCGCCGGTTCCGCACCCTCCCCTCCCCTTCCTCACGGGGTCATGTGCCCGGTGATTCATCGCTAGGCAATGATTTTCCTGAACGCCTCTAATCCTCCCACCCCGCAAGCTGGACAGTGTCTGTCCAGAGCTGGGTCCCAAGGAGGGTGCTTGGGCCCGGCAGGGCTCACCATGAGGTCAGGGGTCCCCTCACCACCTGCCCACTGCTGCCTGGCATTACGCCCAGGACCAGCCTCCTCTCCCTTTCCAGTTTCCCTCCTGAGGGGCGCCAGGTCTGGCTACCTCTTCCCCCAGGGAGCAGCTCAGAGCTCCCTGGTGACTCTGGAGCTGTGAGGCGGTCACCTGCCGGGATGGGTCAGCTCCTCTCCAACTGGTGGTTCGTAATTGTTATCCTCGCGTGTCGTTGTCCCCCCTCCCCGACCGTATCTTTTGGAACAGCTGTGTAGACTGCCTCCCGCCCTGCTGCCCAAAAGCTGTAAAACCTTAGGCTACTTACTGAGTCTCTGTTTCCGCATCTGTCACATAGGAGTGTTCATACCCTAAGAATTTGTTGGGAGGATCAGATGATACAAGGGAACTTGGTATAGAGAAGGGTTAACGCAGGGGGTTTTAAGACAGTTATTCATTGAATCATTCAATACGTAATTATTGAGTGTATTCTTTGAGGAGGTCCAGTGCTAAGCCTTGGAGATTCAGTGGCATAGGTTCTACCTTAATAAAATTAAAATATAGCCCTCGACACTCAAGAGTTTGGTCCATCTACATTGGAGCTCGTCACAACTGTAGCAGCTTAGGTCTCCGTCTAGCCACGCAGAATCGGAATCTAGTTGTTCATCAGTTTTCCCAGGTGACTCATGGGCACATAGTTTGGGAAGCACTGGACTGGACTAGAACTGGGGTTGCCTCCTGGCTCCACCGCTTACTGGCGACCCCTTAAACTCCCAGCCTAAGTTTTCTCATCTGTAAAATGGGTGGTTGTAAGGTCTAAAAGCAACAGAACATGCATAAGAACGCTTTTATGGTGCATGGCACGGGGGACTTAATAAATGGCGAATATTATGCTAGTGATTGTGAGTGCTCTTTGGAAAATGCAGAGTGTTTGATGATGTTACGAGAGTTTATCCTTTTCCTGCCTTGCTTGGATGAGACCTTCATGTCTGTTTCACCTGTTCTGGGTAACAGGGCTGCGGAGGAGACAGAGAGCTGGGGAAGTGAGAGAAGCAAAGGGACAGTTGTCTGTTGTGGGAGTGGTTTCTTGCCTCAGGCTTGTTCTTAGTCATCTGAGCCTCACAGTGTCCAGGTTACTGATCGAGAAGAATTTATTGCCCCTGTTTTTATAGATGGGGCAACTGATGCTCACAAGGTAGGAGGGATGCCCCAGGACACAGAGCCAGCCAGGGTATGACCAGGAAAGGAACCCAGGTTCCTGACACTCTCCATGGTGCTCCTTCCCTTGAAGCATGCTGACTGGGGAGGCAGAAGGAAAAGAAGAGCATGGTTTTGACAATCTCTCTCTGTGTTGGCACACCCAACCATAAAAAATACAAAACTGAACAGCAGACTCCTCCATTTGTTAGGAAATCCATTTCCAGAGGAAGATGCTCCACGGCCTCTTTTCAATAGCTCATTGTCAACCATGAGCAAAGAGTCTTAACTGAGCTTTGAGTTCCAAGAAGACATTTAATTTGCCTGGGAAACCTGAGCAAGTCCCTTTGTCTCTCCTCGGTGCCTCATGGTTACCCTCTGCAAAATGGAATTAATGATGGGTTTCCTCCCTTTCCCTCTTGGGGATGTGGTGAAAGTGAGACTGGAGATGGTGGTGTTATTATGGGAGGATTGTTCTGAAATCACAGGGTGGCTGCCCTAGCGTTTTGGAGCAGATGCATGGCAGCTCGGGACAAAGGGATGCAGGTGATAGGTCCCAAGACTCTGATCACTGTGTTTCTTTGTGTCACTTAACTTCTCTGCTTCTCAATTTGTCCTTTGTACAACAAGGAATTTAGTTGATCTCAGAAGCCCCTTCTGGCGTTATTATAGGTTTCTGTGAAGACTGTTAAGGTTTACGTGGATTTTGGTGTCCAATTCACCTCCTCTTACCCCCTCTCCCCAGCTAGACTCCCAGGGATCAATCTCACTGAAACAAGACATGCATCTTCTCCCTGATTTCCATTATCAATGAGAAGCATTCGTTAACCTGTATGAAACAAATTTCACATCGAGCAGCCTATGCAATCTCTTTCTGTGGTGTTCATTCTAAACCCTGGGGAGGCGGGGTGGTAACTGCCGCCCAAGAGCTGGAGAGCTTTCCTGCCTGAGACTGGCTTTGCTCTGGGTAGATACAGGGAAAACATGTGGGGTTGATGGGTAGAAATGAGGAATCTGTAAGAAAGCATTTTTAGTGGACAGAGCTGCCCAAGGATGGAGTAGATGGTGTACCCTCCAGCATGGGAAGGAGGCAGGAAGCTTGTTGGGATGTTGAATGTTGTAGGAATTTGAGCATCCCTTGGAGGGGAGGTGAACCAGGAGATACAAGGCCTTCACAACCTTGAGAATGCGTGGTTTTATAAAATGATTCATTGTCTGTGAGCCTGTGGTAAGGCTTTGAAGTTTACAGGGACTGAGATCTCAGAGTAGCCCCTGTAAAGTGGATCATCGCCCTTTTCCCATAGGATCATTGTGAGAGTAAAATGAGATAATCTGTGACAATCACCCGCCACTGTTATTGTGAGTTCCCTTGTCTTGGCCTGCTGGTAGCAATGTCCACACAGAAGCGCATCCTTTCATGAGGCCATGGTCACACACCTGACTTACCTGATGTCATTTCATCTCATCTCTTACACTTCTCTTCCTGGTAGGCTCTCTTGACAGGCTGTTTCTTCAGTGACAGAGGACAGGCTTGCCGGGAATGTGCAGTGTCTCCACCCAGCCTATCTCAGGACATGGTTCTCTCTGATTTCTCAGCAGCTGAACTTTGAATCTCCTGAGTCTAGTGATCTTTTGCCTGGCCCTGTTTTCATTCAGCAAACATTTACTAAGTACTGAGTACCTATTGTGCGCCAGTCCTCACACTAGATGGTGGAGTATAGTGGTGATAAACACATGTTCCTGGCCCTTAGAAAGTTCACGCTTGGAAGAAACAGAAGAAATAGACATGAGGATACCATCCTTGTGATAGAAGCAACCACAGGAAGACCCTGTTGTCTAGTCCTTGGAAGATGGGAGATGGGCATGAGGCTTTGGGTGGGTTCCCGAGAAGAAGTAATGCTTGAGCTCAGCTGCTTCTTCCAGCCCAGTCTGACCTCTTCAGATACATAAAGGTGTTTGGAGATATGTAAGGCACCCTACGTACCAGATACGTAAAAGTTCCTTGTCTTAAATCCTCTCAACCCTGCAAGGGAGAGTGGGTTTTTATGTTATTCTCATTTTACAAGTGAGAGAATTGAGGCTTAGCAAGAAAAGCAAGGATCCTAGATTTTCTTAATCACTTTCCCATTGGTGTATAAACCATCAAGAGCATATAAAACTCAAGGGAGCATCAGCAGAGTCGCTGGGGTATGGTACCTGCTGATCACCATGGTCAGAACTTTGTGACCTCCATGTGCCCCACATCCTGCTGGCCATCAAGTTTAGGTAGGATTATACACAGTCCTGGTATCGAAGGGTAAATAAATGGTCACGTAGGGAAAACAGAGACATGTGGTACATGACAAGAGGACCAACAGTAATCGAAGGGCGATGATGGTAACAGAGAAGCCAGTGAGGTGTGGAATAGAGGTTGAAGGCTTTGAGCCCCCCTGGAGACTCATCTATAGAGGACTAGATATGACATGGATGTAATGGCACTTTGAAGACCAGCACCAATAGGAACACGCTAATGAAATCGACCACCTGGGGCTCTAAAGGCCACACTGACTTTTTACTCTCTCCGTTCTATCTTGTTTCTTACTCCTTCCTAAATGGCTGTTGTTGGCCTCCTTCCCCACTGGAAGCTCCAGGATCTTTGTGGAATCATAGTTCCTTAGGATAACATTGTAACCCCATCAGAAATGTGGAGCTGTGTACTTCCCCTTTAAAGCTTAATTTGTTAATAAATATTTATTGAGCCACTTTTATGTGTCAGGTGCTTTGGATCATAACTCAACCTTAACATACCAATCTGCTGCTTCACTGGGATTCTGTCCTTTTCTAGTCATAAAGTTTCATACAAGTCAGGATTCCTGCCTCCCCTCTTCTCTGCACCTGGGAGGATTCATTCTCTGGGAGAGCTGTTTTTCTGTGAGCAGACGGGAAGCAGAGTGGAGAGTGATGGGGATTGAGTGGGGATTACAGCCCCATCAGCCGGAGGCCAGAAAATGCTTGGATGAGAGAAGGGGATTAATTTTATTTTTATTCCTGTGAGTGTGGGGGAAGTTGGGGGAATTCACAGAAACTAAGGGGGCGGGGGACACTTGTTCATGTTGTCCTCTCTCTCCTCCAAAGTGTCCTCCCTGCCTTTGTCAAAATTTCTACCCATCTTCCAAAACTCATTCTTTATAAGAAGTGTTCTCTAATTGCAACCTAGAGTGCTCTCCTCCATTCTTGTAGCTCTCATGGGCTGCATGTTGCTTTGCAGTGAGGTTTTTTTTTTGGGGGGGAGTTACCATGGAGTGGGTTTGAAACCACTGTCCATTGCTTTTTATAAGTTGGACTCTTTGCCGTCTAGGTCCTTTGTCTTTAAGGTCAATGTTTCTAGTACTTGTCACCATATCAATTATAATAACTGATCATTTATTGAGGAGCTGCTAACTATTAGAGAGACTTATGCTGCGTACCTTACATACCTGGTCTCTAATTCTCTCAACCCTGCAAAGCAAAGTGGGTTTTTATATTATTCTCATTTTACA